AAATTTTCCTTCATTAATTCAGTCATTTCAATAGTAACTTACGCCCTTACGTTACTTTTCAGAATGGTGAAGGATTTTGTCACTAGAAATAGAAGTCAGGAATTACGACAACTTATAAAAGTATTGGGTCAAGATTTTGCTGGCTCCCAGAACCCAAACACACGGAAAGGTGGCCTTATAGGTCTTGCGGCAACAGCCATAGCCCTTGGAAAGGTAAGCTATCTTCATGTTTTTTACACTTTTAAGTACTTATCCGACTATCAAAAGATTTTTAATAAGTTTTTGTTTTTGTCTTTTTAGGACACTGGTCAATATACCCAGGAGCTTATCTTACCAATTCTGGCATGTTTCTCAGACTCAGATTCTAGGGTCCGTTACTATGCTTGTGAAAGTCTGTATAATGTTGTGAAAGTAGCTAGAGGAGCTGTCTTGCCCCATTTTGCTGAGATATTTAGTGCTCTTAGTAAATTAGCTGCTGACCCAGAGCAGAATGTCAAAAATGCTTCTGAACTGCTTGATCGGTTAATGAAGGTAGGTACAACATAACACTTGTTGAAAATTATGGCTTTACAAAACTGCATGAAGTACTAATTATTATCCAATTTTAGGATATTGTAAGTGAAGATCCATCCTTTAACATGGTAGGTTTCATGGAACTCTTAAGAGAAAGAATTTACAGCAGAAATGCTTTCACAAGACAATTTATAATATCATGGGTGTCAGTCCTGTATGCTGTTCCTGACATGGACTTTATAGTTCTCCTTCCTGAAATCCTCGATGGGCTTTTGAGAATGCTTGACGAACCTACATTGGAAATTAAAAAGACGTGAGCACAATCAGAATATTATCCATCTCTCATGTTGCTTTCCTCTTTCTTGTTATTTCCCTCTATTATTCTTTTACAGATGTGATACAGTTCTTGGAGAATTTCTAAGAAGCATAAAGCAAGATCCCAGTCGAGTTGATTTTCCTATGATGATCAACATATTAATTGTTCATAGCCAAGCACAAGATGAATTTCTTCAATTGACAGCAATAACATGGATCAAAGAATTTGTGCAGCTGTCAGGGAGAAATATGCTACCATTTGCCTCAGGAATTTTAACAGCTATTTTGCCATGTCTGTCATATGACACAGACTCTCGTAAAAGTATCCTTTCTCATTACATTTTGTGTCTCTGAAATCTAGTTAAATTACATAGGTAGTTTTTGTTCCATTGAAAATTTTCCTTAAAAAGAATTCAGATATCAGAGAAACAGCAAAAGCTGTTAATTTCATTCTCACTAAACTAATAACAGATGAAAAGGATAATAATGAAAGTGGTGATGATCTCAACCTTCCATCTATAATAGATGTTCTCCAAAAGCATTTAGTCCATTCAGCTGTTCCAACAAAAGTGGCAGCACTACAATGGGTTTATCATCTCCATACAAACATACCAGATAGAGTGAGTGTGATTCATGGTTATTCTTTCCCTTTCCTATTTTTACCTGTATTATGTATACCCTCACATTCATTGTTTGGTGGTTTACAGATGTTGCTTCATGTGGATGAACTTTTCACAGTGCTGCTAAAAGTTCTTTCTGATTCAGCTGATGAGGTGGTGCAGCAGGATATAGAAGTTTTAGCTGAATTTATGTCTTACCCTTCCTCTGGTATGACATGAGAAAACATAAATGTTAAAATATGAAGTTATTATAATTTTTATGAAATTGTGTGGGTTTGATTTTTCCAGGAGATACCTCAACTGGTGCCAGAATTCCAAATTCAAAAAATCCTTATTTCTCTAAATTCATTGTAAGCTTGTTGAAGCTTTTTAGCACAGACCATCATTTACTAGAGGACAGAGGCTCATTCATAATAAGGTGCATTTAATTAAAATCTAGTATTTGACTTGCTGTCTTGTTTGCTAGGCAATAGAATTAAGCTATCTTATCTATGTGAATTAATTTGCAGGCAACTTTGTGTTCTTCTTGATGCGGAAGATATTTACAGAACTCTAGCAACCATTTTGACAAGAGAGGAAAACTTGTCTTTTGCTCCAACAATGGTGGATACTCTGAACACAATCCTTTTAACAGCCGCTGAACTATTTGAACTAAGAAATAAATTAAAAGAACTTTCTACAAAGGTATTAAATTATCAGTATTGCTTTAGTTGAATCTTATTTGAAAGCCTAACTGAATGAAAATATTTCTACATCTAGGAAAGCTGCTCATTGTTTTGTCAACTTTATGAATTGTGGTGCAACAATCCTGTGGCCACGGTCTCTCTTTGTCTGCTCACTCAAAATTATGCCCATGCAAGTCGCCTGATAAGAAACTTGTATCCTTTGATGCATGCGTACTCCCTTCAGATTCTCAATACATATCTTTCTGGTTCCACGTACATATTTTCCTTGGTGTTTTTCTTAACATAGACAGTGGGGGCCTAGAGGTAACTGTTGAGTTCCTTATAGAAATAGACAGGCTGGTCCAGTTACTTGAATCTCCCATATTTACATGTAAGTTTATGTCTTTGATAATTCTATTTCCTTTTTTTAAACTTTGCCAAGTAACCGTGCTTTGTTTTGGTAGTTGTTCGTCTGGAACTCCTTGAAATACCCCACAATCAACACCTGGTCCAAGCATTGTATGGTTTACTAATGCTATTACCTCAAACTGAAGCTTTTCACATGTTGAGACGCAGGTTGAACTGCATACCAACTCTTCATTTACAAAATGGTTACGTACAAGGGTGAGTTTCCTTAGGCCTCTTGAAGACTTGACCAATCACATAAGGATTGACAATAATTTAATTTTCAGAGGGATTACTGAGAAACCAGACACACGGCCTGGTGTCAAAGAAATTGATTTTGACAAACTCTTGAAGCAATTCTTAGAAATACAAGAGAAACACCAAAAAAGCAAGCAGAAGAGTCGTAAAATAGGAATGCTTCAGCAGGGTGTCAGTAATATGGATATTCAATAATGATGACAAAGAGAAAGTATCCAATCAGAAAAATGCATTTTGCTCTAGATGTTTTTGCTGTATGTGGTGTTGGATTGCTGATTGATGTAATTATTGAATGAATGAGGTTTTCTTGCTTGATATTCGTTTATATTCTTATACAAACATAATTCGTATATTATAGTATTGTTGTTATGAGGCAATCTCAATGCATTTTATCCTGGCATTTGTTACATTGTCGATAGTTTAGATTGTTTTTAATGTTACATAATTAAATATTTCATTCAAGAATTCCATATTTGCAATAGTAAGTTTTTTAAATATATGCTCCTAGTCTTTAGTAAATTTGATCTACAGTATACTGATTGCTGTTGTTCTTGTTGTGTGAAGGTGAAACAAATAACCAGAGTGTAAATCAAAAATCATTTCAAAGTTTGTACTGATATTCTTGAAAATATATTTTCAAAAAGAACATAAGATTAGCACCATTCTCTATACATTAGAGAAGTGAATAAGAGGGGCACAAATCAACAGTGCAAGAGATAAAGTTGACAGGCTAACAGAGAAATTGATAAATCATATAAACATATTAACAAACAAATTTTTTTTATGAAAAATGGAAAAAATAACAGGAAACCTGTAATTCAAGACTGAATACAAATCTAACTGAGCTATCACAGTTTGTCATTCGCTATGGACTAAGGGCTAACTAAATCTCCTGGCTGTAGGTTGAGAGTAATGTCTTGAAGCTGGCTAACTGAATCCCCTTGCTGAAAGTTGAGAGTGATCTCTCTGATTTGATTTACCAACTGTCTATTTTCAAGTACTGTGTCATGGACACCCTTCTTCATATTAATCATTTCTTCAATAGCCTTAGTAAATTTGAGACACTCCTCCTTGCTGCGGAACGGAGACTTTGATGGTTTATCCTTCTTTGCTTCACCCCGTAGCTGTTTAGTCAGCAGCCTGTCATGGATGACACGATCAGCCTCAACAACAATACACTTAAATCTATCAAGATGTTGTTCATACTGAGTCACATCTTTCTCCAATATTTGAGTCTGAGAAAATACTGTTTGAGCCATTATGTAGCAATCTGCCATGTTCTCTGCTTGCTGAGCTAGTGGGGGAGCAGATTTTTGATCCAATAATGACCTGAGCTGCTGACCAGCATCAACAACTTTAATTCTTTCCAACACATGGAACTGTTCATCATTATAGGTCAGACTTCGAGTAGCCTTATCTCGTAGCAAATGCTGCCAGGACTCTCTAAGGCGATCTACAAGAGTCCTAGCTACATTGGGCATTCGAGTTTCTGATGGACAAACTACATTTCTCGAGGAATCAGTCCACTTCCTTAACAGAGTCTTCTCTATCACATAACGGTCATGAAGCTGCTTGATTGCTGGAGCTAAATTTTCAGTTAGCTCTTTTGTTAAATTATTCAGTTCTGTTTTCCAATCAGTTGGTACAGTATTTGAAGGATTTTCAGAGCTACTATCCAGTTCTCGTATAGCATTGTGAGATCTGCATGCCACATTCACAACATCTCTCACATAGGAGGACAATGCTTGCAGATTTTCACTGCGCTGCAAAACTCTCTCCAGGTCCCTGCTCACAACAGTTGACATGACTTCCACACACAGGCCGTTCAACCTGCTTGTCTGGGCTAGTTTCTCAATACGCCTCTTACACTCATGACCCACACTGCAGGCAACTTTGGCAATGCTGGCATCATTCTCAACAGAGACAAGTGTAGGAAATTTAGGGAAATCAGGTAGAGGATTTTCTGATGCAGTAACAACATTGTTGTTATCTTTACTCAAGAGCATTATGGGACACTCCTCTTCAATTTTTGGGTATCCTCGTCCAGGAGTGTTCTCATCAATTACATCCAAGAAAGGTCGATCCTTTAGAAGTAAAATTTGCTTGTGTGGTGCTACATTAGTTTGCTCCATGATCAAACTCTGAACTTCAGCAAAGGTTCCTTCTGGATGTAAATACACCCTGACTGTTTGGCTTTTGTTTAAGTGGTAAATATGGAGAAGCTTACGAGATAAAATGTCAGTGACTTCAGAGAAGAAACGATCAAACTTCCAAACTCGTTTATGATCAGTTTCCATGAGACCTGCCAGAAGAGGAATGACTAGTCTCTTCAAGCCAGCACTAAGCCGAGAATTGCTAGGCAAGTCTTTGCTCCATTCAATGGGGCCATTATCTCGCAGTTGAATACCAGATATTACCCCAGTAGCCTTTTTGGTTGTTATGAAAAACATGGTTTCCTTATTTCTACGGCCACCATAAGGTCGGAATGGAAGATTGCCGGTGGCAACATGATACAGTGTGACACCAATAGACCATAGGTCAACAGTAGCACCAAATGCTGTTCCAACGGGCTTTTTTAACACAGCCCGTTCAAAAAGATCAGGGTGCAAATACTCTTCAGTACCATACAGTGATACAAATTTTTGGTCTTCCTGAAGTTCTCGTGCAGCACCAAAGTCTGTTAGTTTATAGATAGTACGTCCATCTTCAGCAATAAATTTCATAATATTTCCAGGTTTAAGATCACGATGAACTAAATTGTTGTCACGTAGATGTTTCATTCCAGCTGTCAAATGACTTAATACTAATAAAAACTCTTCTTCTTGTAATCCATAAGTGTTTTCCGGATCCTCAAGAATCGTGAACAGTGATCCACCAGTGCAAAGTTCCATGACAATGACTTTGCCTCTGCCATCTTGCTCATCTTCAATGGCCAGGAGCTTAACAATATTTTCATGTTTCACCCTTTGAATAACTTCAAATTCACGCAGTTGAACCTCTGAACTGCGTTGATGGCTAGCCTGGTTAAAAGTCTTGACAGCTACTGGTTCACCATTATTTTTGTTAACACCCTGATACACAGCACCTGTTGCTCCTTTTCCCAAAACACTTGTGGTAATCCATACAAAATTGCTGGAGCCACGAAGAAAAGCTGAAGTCATCTTGCCAAATCTGAAGCTAACATCTGCAGATGAATACCCGTCCGGCGTTTAATCTTCAGCGGAACTTCTACAATCAAAAACTCATAAGCGCAGTGCAGCTGTTTGGGGAATACAGCCCCATGGCCACAGAGGATCAGTTGCTATCTCTCCTCAGGCGAAACAGGAACAATTACATCACCCCCACGGGAATTCCGCGCATTTGATTCGCGATTCACCTGATGCACTCGAGTGGCAAGCTTCAGCTGCAATCTACTCCGTCAGAGATAGGCGTTTGTTGTGCTAGGAGAGGTAACTCTGGCGGGGCCAGTGCTCAAGAAGCTCGAAACTTTACGCAGCAAATATCTCAGAACAAAATTTTTTATGCCTCTAAAAGAAGAAACAGGAGTCGTCTGAAGCACGTAACATAATTCTAACTGCAAACTGAACGAAGGGTTACAGGATTTGCCTTCAATGTTAACTCGATTTTCATTCCAAACGTCCACATTGAGAGAAGTTTTGCGGGGCAATGCTTGTACAACTTGTACCTGCACATCTATGTAAGTATACTCAAGGGTACTTTCCATCCGTTGCCCCTCATCGACCGCTAGACTAGGGTTGGAAACGTCGATTTCGATTTTTCGATTAAAATCGACTTGGCACTTTTCAAATCGATTTTTTTCAAATCGATTTGAGGTTTTCCAAATAATCGTCAAATCGATTTGGAACCATCGATTTTCGATTTTTATTGTCAGGTTACAAATTGGTACTTTTCTTGCACGTTTTGCCACTTTTTGTGCTCTGGGCACGCTATGATGTGGCGCAGTCGGTCATTCTTTATCAACAACAATGATTATTTCGGTAAAATTATTGCAAAACACATAAATTGCAAAAGTGCAAGTATGACTACTTTGCATTTCTAAAGCTGAGTGCCGTTTTATTCACTTTTTTTTACCACTTTTTCTCTTAATTTTCGATTATTTAAAATCGATTTGAAAATCGATTTGGGCAAACTGAAAATCGACCCAAATCGATTTGGCCTTTTTCAAAATCGATTAAGCAAAAAATCGATTTGGCAAATAATGTTTCCAACCCTACGCTAGACTTGTTGTTGTTGTTTCGTTCTTTTTCTTTACTTCTTCTTAACCTCTAGCTCTCTTCTGCTGTGCAAGTGTAAAATATTTTTTTTTGACAATGTACACCTTTTTAGGAGTTAAGCGTGAGATTTAGGAAATGCAATCAGGTATATTTAGTTTCACTGTCAAGATTAAAATCAAACTTAGACACCACGTTTTAACAAAATTAAATGTCGGGTCAGCGAGTTCCATTTTGACTTGAGTAGTAAAACTGATGTTTTCTTTGCAGGAGCTTAGTTGACTATAGTAGTAAATGCATAAAGATGGCGTTGTTTTGTAAAATGCGATTTCCACTGTAATTTTGTCTGAATATGAATTAAAATTGCAACAGTAACTCGTAAATTAAGTCTTGTTGTATCCCTTCGATCCTAAGGTATGTAAATTACATATATTTGTATCGGTGGTCTCCACTTTTTGTCTGAGGCGAAACGAAGTGCAGACGCTCTGTGAGTCACGCGTTTGGGGGCGTCTTGTAAATTATTTTGTCAAAGGAATTTTTCGTTAAGCTTACACTTCTACATCAAACCGTTGCAGAATGTAATTTCAATTTCGGGAATGCCTTTTAACCCTTCATCATAAAATATTCTTACTAGAAAGTTTTTGCGTTTTGGTGCTCATCAGTATGCAATAACAGGTTAATACTCAAGTAGCTTTTTACAGCTTTGGTTGTCAAGTTCTTGTTTGTTCTCGACTGTGAGTTCATTGAAAAATTTATTTACTTACCTCTGGTTGTTTTTATCTTTTGGGTTGTTAAATTTACTCCCAGGCACCAATTATGTCTCATTATCTTGTCTGCGTTTCTTCTTGTGTGAACCTAAGGACTTAATTACACCCAATCATCTCCTTTTGCAGCTGGCCTTGCGGTTCACCATGGGTTTGCATGGCTTTCAACTGGTGTAGGCTAGTTGGGCCATGCAGGCACAGCCAGGTCGACGCTATCTTAACTCCGTCTCAGATTTGTATGGTGCTGATGAAATAGAAGTGTTGTGGGACGAAATTCGCACGCTGGAGCCCTCAAGTTGTCGCCCCGAGGACCTGCAGGTAAAGCCCTGACAGTTTTTTCTTACTCAGAGTTGTTCTGTGAAAAGTTGATCTTATATAATTATATTATGATTACTCACTACCTTATTTTTGAAACAACTTTTAAGTTTAGTATTGATGTGGATGAGATTGCATGGTTTGTTGCACACTCAAACAGTATCTCAAGTGCATGCTTAAACTGATACTGTGAAGTCAATTCTTAGCGAAATAACTTCAAGTTGAAGTGAAAACATGAGAATTTTTACTGGAAGGTTTTCCCCCACAACTAGACTTAATTAAAACACATCACCTTAGAAATATAGAGGAGTAGTATTTGACCTCACAATCCTTAAGTTTGTTCATTTAGTAAGTTAAAAGTAAGGATTTATGGATGAATCTAATTTGACAGAATACAGTAAAACGGGAGATGCATTTTGAATATTATTACGGTATAACAGGCAATGGTTTTTAAAAAAGAAAAATTATTCTTTAATTTTAAAACCAACAAGTTACGGTGTTCTTTGTGAACAGAGAGGAAGTTATATTGGAACGTCAGGTGAGGACGGAGATTTTGCAACCTGCTCTAGCCATATTAAAAATGACTTAAGTGACGACGAAATATTCTTTGAAGCGGAGACATCTTTGGAGGTGAGTGTCGATGATAGGATAATTAAGGTGGGTGTATGTTAGCTTTCATGGCTGTTTTCTTCTTATATTGAAAGCCTTGTTGTTTTTGTCTGAAAATAGCTCCTATCATTCTGCCCCTCTCTCCGAAAAGATTTGTTGTTTCTGTTCCATTAGCATGTTGCAGCCACATTTTTCAAAAACCATTGCCTGTTGAAGTTGTCTGTGTGTGTCCTTAAATCCATGCACAAGTGTAGAGCACACTCAAAACTCAGATTCAAAATTCACTCTTTTCTGCACAGTCTTCATGCACATTAAAGTAACTGTCCGTCTATGCACATAAGTATTGCATTAGTACCTAAGTCCTATCCATTCATATTTTATTCATATTTTTAGTTTTCTTACATGTATTTGAGTTATTGGCTCGGTTATTGGATTGTTTGGGAAATCTCCCCATCTTATTTATTGCTAAAGATGTTTATCAATTTTTGTTGGAACTTCGAATGCTAGTAAAAACCTGAAAATGACAGAAGTTACAGTATTTGAGTTAGGGAAATCTCCCCATCTTATTTATTGCTAAAGATGTTTATCAATTTTTATTGGAACTTTGAATGCTAGTAAAAACCTGAAAATGACAGAAGTTACAGTATTTGACGCTTTGTGAGTATCCTCTGTCTTGCAGTGCGTCTATTTTTAAAATTGTTTAGCTTTGAAATGTTGCAGGACTTCGAGATTGCGGGCAGTCAGACCCACGTGGCCAGCGTGGCTGACTGTGAGTCGCCCGCGGTCACGGTCCGCTCGTGGGACTCTCATGCTAACTATCGGGTCCCAGGGTCCCACCCAGGCTCCATTTTCCATGGAGTCATTCTCTACTGTGATGAGACTCATCTCAAGTCATCAACAGGAGTTGTCCGATTGCTATTAGTGGTATGTTTTACTCAAGACGGCTCTTTTGCCTGTTTCATTTTGAAATTCTATTTCGTAATTTCATGCTTATGGATATGTATATTTTTATTATTTTTCAGATTTCCTCAGTAGCATGTTTAGCATGTCTGTGCTCATCTGGGACAGTGAAACTAGGGCTCTTTATGTTGCCCCTAGTTTCCCGTCTCCGCCTGATGATGTTTGTCACCATATTCAGTTTGCTGGTTACAATATTGCTCCTATTTCTAGACATTTCTCATATAATATATCTTTTTCCATTCAACTGGGGAAAGCTGGTGAGTAAACGTACCCTCTAATATACCTATCTTTATTCACTCCCACTTACTGTTTTTGTAAGACACTTGTTCCCTATCTTTTACAGAATGCATGGTTTTATGTCAGTGTTAGTGCACTTTACCTCATCAGCTCCTCACTCATCTTGCATCTGCTCAATGAATATCAAGAATCGTACTCCTGGATTCCTAAGAAAACCCGGGACCATCTCCTAGCAACTGGAGTTAGTACCTCTTCATTGTTAAACCATTAATAGTTCAGGGTAATTGTGTGACACTAATAAAGTGGTTTTAAAATTTTCTGTATAGATCTTGGGCTACATATGCGCTGTTGAGGCCCTTGTACTATCAGTGACAACAAGCTGTTGTCAAAGAGATCAATATCGCCCTGTTGTTACTGAAGATTCAAGTGAGATGAAGGTCCGAGATTCAGCACTGCAGCCACTTCGATCTGACAGTCCACAACACCGCATGACTCCTCCAAACAAGTTGGCGGTGCCATCCTCGGCCTCCACTTCCTCTCGAGTGTCTCGGATGCGCAATTCTGCATCTGCTCCTCTCTGGCCTCTTGATGATGGACAACCAGGATCTTCGAAGCGTAATGATGGGTATGCATGACAGGTCACTGAAATTCTCTTGTAAACTAGGCTTTTATAGATCTCAGAATACCAAGGAGTATTTGTCCAACCAATTCTGCTTGCAGTTTGCGATTCATTTAATTTCCCCATATTTTTGTAGGTGGGAACAAAATTAAAACCTTAGATTATTGCTGGAAGTGCCTGTCACTTATTTATAATCTCACTAGTCTTCAGGTTATCACTCACAGAAAATATTTTCATTGTTAAAGTAACGTATCACGTGTATGTAAGTCCACCTGCAGGGGCCGTTAGCAGTCCTCTGTGACAGGTATCATGTATCATTATCCTACTTGACTTACCAGACAGATTGATATAGTTCACCCGTAAAGTGTTCCAGTATTTTTGTATTGTAGCAAACATAAAAAGTAATTTTTATGCCAAGCTTTCAAAATTTGTGATCATTTCTGATAAACTATCTTTAGATAGCAAAGGAGAATGTGAAAATGTCAGCCAAACCAGCTTTAACTTGTAGCAGGCAGAAGTAATTCTTTTACATTACATTATATGTCCTTTTTATTTTCTAGTCAGCCTGTGGCTAGTGATTTGAACATCATTTGTTCATCACGTTCAAGTAATGAATTCTAGATTGCCTAAATCAGGTTTTCTGACTGATTCCTTTTTTAATGTGATATTTTTTTTTAATTGTACAAAGTTCATTCCATTTCTTTGACATCATCATGAGGGGCTTTGAACCTCTTTTACTCTTCCATTTTAACCTCAAGCATGATTTGTACATGCTTACGCTTCCTAGCCCACAGTATTTCTATTAATTTATTTTTATTTCATTCCATTTCCATTGTGTTTTTATACTTCCTATTTATTTACTTTAATTTAGATAATCATTTGTGAGGTTTTTCTATCTGTGGATTATGTACTGTCTATATACTCAGGCTGCTTTTGTCTGCTCATGTGTCACCTGGAATCAACTTGTTGGATAACAGTGTTGATGAGGGAGGAAGCTGGAATTTTGTGGTGGCTATTAAACATATCGTGGCACTTCGCAGTTGCCACATGCCGTCCTGGTTCAAAATGGAATGACAGGGTACGGTATTCACACTGGGGTGGAAATAGCTTTTGGTCAATGCTTTCAATTTGTATGCTCTTCCAACTGCTCCTTTTTGTTTATATTACACTAGGAGAAAGTATGTGAGAGTAGCCAGTCTCTTACTTATCGTTCTATGTACAACTGCTGATCATTTTGCATTGTGGATTATTTTAATCTTTGTTGTAAGAAGTTATGAAATTTGTTTGCTCTATGATGTCTTGGTTTTTGAAAATGAAACGCTGGTAGACTTCTAAAGCCGCTTTTTTTAATTTACTGTTTGCCTTGAGCTTTCTTCAGAATTTAAGGCAATAATTAGGTAAAAATTCTCTATCCATTATCTGAGTGATGTTTTGGCAGCTTGTCATGCATTTTTTCATAAATTTTGATATTTTGGGCACAGTGTTGTTCACTGTGATCATTTTAATCCAATTGTTTTCATTTGCCTGTTATGTCATATTGACCATCACAATCATAAACTTGTGTGAATGCTTATAAAACTTGTTAGTTGTAATTAATGTATGTTATGTAGAGTAAATAACAGCTAAGTCCAGATGCATGATGTTCAGTTCAACTAAAACTAGGTTTGTGATATTACCTTAAAGTTGCCATTTGAAATAGGGGACATTATGGCCTTTGTCTTTTATTTACTTTAGATAACTGGCTTAGCAGAGTTTATATGCGTTGTAATATTAGAGGAAACGCTGCATAAATGAAGCTCTATGCTTTGTGGGACTTTCAAGCATCTCTTTGGAATCTTGTCTCGGTTGATCCCTGAAAGGGTAAAGTAACCGTTCTGTACATACCCTCTATACATTTTAGTAATTTATCTGGTTTTCATTGAAAAAATCTCTCAGAATGTTTTGCTTTAATAATAAAAATTATGCTGAAATGTCAATGCATAGTTGGTGGTGTATTTAGATAGATAATACAACTTTTTGTTTATGTATCTTCAAAAGAATTACTAAAGTATATTGTGAATGGGTTGTTAAAAGAAACAGTAGAACTTCAGGGTGCAGTCTGAAGAAATTTGAGGCCTGGGGTCAGAAAATCTGCTCATTACTGTCATAATTGCATCCGGTTTAGCTCTCTTCTACATATTTTGCATCAAATTGCCGTTTGGTCATAATTTACTAGAGATGAAATGCAACTGTTAAGTCTTTGTAAGAAATTATATTATTTTTCCCTTTAACAATTTTTCTTGCATTCACTATTTGGGGCCAAAGAGATTGACCTTTCTAATTAAAAAAAAAAAAAAAAAAAGCTTTTGAGCGCACTAGTCGAATGCACAAAAGATTGTTTATTAGCCGCATTGTATTAATCTTTGGAATCAGTGCATATGATGGTATGGGATGGAGCGTTTGTTTTTGTGAATTGTGAAATATTTTCAAGTTTCTAGGGTGATGAGAAGAGGCTCTCCATTTCTTTATTTGCTCATTTTGAAATACAGCAGCGCTATTATTACATGGCTTTGGCTTTTCGCTGCCCTTTCAAACAACTCTTTTATTATTATTATTATTATTTTGAGGCCAAAGAAATGATTCTGACTGATTTTCATGCTTGCATTGATTTGTAGTGTTAAGATGATAGTCCTTTTTTAAGTTTATCAGAATCTCACCCTTTTTTGGAATGACATTTACCATGGAGTATCTGTACCGTTTCCAACTGTTTGTATTAAGATCGACTCATACGAAATAGTTACAATTCTGTATTGTATTACATGTTAAATTGGAGGTGCTATTGTATTGAATGTGATGTTATAAGTTGGAGACACATTCTAGTCATTTGGACCCTTGAGTCCTTTGTCAAATGGAATTTTCCATTCTTTTTTATTTTATAGCAAATCTCTTAAGAGTATATAGGTTTCAAAGACTCAATTATTGTTTCTTTGGGAAGGCTTCAAACTCTTGCTTCATGCTGGTTAGACCAAATCTTTATTGTATTTAAAGAAGTCCTTTTGTGTATGCTGTTTTTCATATGTATGAAAATCAGAGTTTTGCATTTTTTAATGTTACCAAACAACCTTTAAATAATGTTCTTTTGAAACAAACACTTGCTGGTTTTTGCAATAACACACCACTACTACAACTTTAAATCAATTTCTGTTTAAAATTGTTTTAACTAGTGCTGAACTTTAAATTCTTTTATCATCTCAATCGTCCTTTTTTTTTTTACAAGAGAAAAACAACACAAATGGTTGATTTTCCTTAAATTTTCTTCTCTCAATAGCTTTAAATCTGCTTCTTGTCACATTTTGTGCAAAATCTAGGTATGTGAAGGTATGAAGAAGTATTGATACTTCAATAGGCAATCATACCTTTTATTGTCATATTTTGATAATGTTTTAAATTTTTCAAAGAATATCTACAAAATTTTTCTAGGGCAAGATTGGGTACTTCAGTATTCCCTCTAAATGTGGTAGTGTATTTTGTTTAGAAAACCCAGTTGACTCATTACTTGTACTTATCATATTACAGATGAACATTTTCAGAATTACATTGTATACTAGAATGTACATGTGTGTGTTTTACTGAGCTGATAGGATTTGGTGCTCACACTGTCAGCCAATGTTTTTTTGGGTATTGCAATGTTGACATGAATTTTTACTATTCTAGTCTCAATGCAAGAAACTCTCTTAAAATATATGTACTTGTGAGTCGCGACGATTAAATCAGAAAAGTGTAGACGCTGTAGACGCTCATTTCTTCCAAAAGAACCACACACTGAAGGATTCCCGTCTCACCCGACCTTCCCCTCAATGGAGGCAATGGAGGAGGATATCGGAGAGTCCCTCGGATATTTCAACTTCCGGTGCCGATCTAGGATACGATCCCCCCAATTTTAATGTTATCTGAACTCTTTTGAATACTGAACACGAAAATTTCGGGGACTGTATCCGAGATCAGCTCCTAAAGTAGAACAATCCGGGGAGCTCTCAGATTACTCTCAAGCTCCCAGGTAGAATCGCCAAAAACTCGTCAATGAATGACCCTCATTTGACATCATAATGAGCTCATTGTGGCTACCTAGCCGCAGTAAATTTTGACGATCGGCGTCGTCAAAATTACTCATTTTGACATCACTTTGAGAAATGTCTGTGTGGGAACCATTCTTAACTAGAAAAGAACTAAAGCACACAAAGATTTCACAAGTGAAGTTCAAAATATTGACGACCGTCAATCACTTTTCCGCACTACGTGGTTTCCTGCCCTGCCCCCTCATTCTGATCGGGCGTTCGGCTCACGCGTGGCTTGCGTGACTCGGCCGCGTCGTCACTGATGTACTCGTTGGAGAGCCCTTTTGCCGGTCGATCAGGCAGTAATTTGTCAACTCGGCTCCAAGAAGCCATTCTGTTATTTGCCACTCGCACTCGTAAAATTTTATCGTCGGACATGCGTGGAATACTCGTGGTTCAGCGGGTCGGCCGCCGCCGAGCCTCCGGGCGGAAGCTCCTTCCTTCCATCCGTCGTCACACGACGATCGATGATACAAAGCATGAAGCACCGCCCGGCGCCGTGAAGTGAAGCGGTCCAGTCTCCAACCTGCTCCAACCGCCAACTAGAGATGGCCACGGTCGCAGCCATCGTCATGTGTCGGCCCTTCTGCTCCCCACACTTTCTGGACAGATTGAAATGCGCAAGAATCAAGGCATTGAGGTAAGTGACCGTCCAGCAACTGAAATATCGCATGCAAGCAAAGTCAAACCACGTGGTCAAACGGGGCGCATGACGGGGGTGGAGGAGGTGCGTCGGGTGTCGCGTCGTGCCGTTTGCCGTTATTGTAATTTCGATGGCAGAAACAGCGGGGCATGTGTGGAGAAACGGCAGCCGTTCTTCTGCTGCGTTACTTTGCGCGTTTTTCTTTGTCAGGCGGACTGTGTAAGACGGCCGCTGTCCTATAGAGCGCACTATGATGTCCTCGAGCTGCTCGGGCCAAAAACTGTCGTGAGGCATGAGCCTCGGCGGGACGAGCGACGGCCACGACGATGGGGCCGCGGGCGTGACGGAGGGGGCGGGGAGGGGGAGGGAGCGGTGGATGTAATTACACTTTTCTGTTGGGGACAGATGTCGAGCCGAGATATCGAGTGGCCGGCCATCCATCGAATGGATTGATCCCTCCCTCCCCCTGCCCGGCCCTGCCCCCCTCGCAGGGGCCTAGCGAGCCGGGCCATCTGATCGTGTCGTCCCGCCGCGTCCCGCCGAGCGGCAGCCGCGGCAGCTTGTAAAGTGCAGCGCCGCGCTGGACCATTATTGCGGGGACGTGAGCCGCACCAAAACGTGCTGGCCCGTACACTGTCGGAAAGTTTATAGACAATCACGATGCCGGGGTAACGTATTTTCAAAAAAGTGTAAACTTTAAATATTTATTGACAAACTTTTGAAAATTTTTGAAAGGACAGTGGACCGTTTAAGTTGAACCGTTACAATTTTCGTCATTTCTCAAGTTTTCAAGGAAATGTCAGTTATTCTTGCATTTCCACCGATTTCCACCAGGGCTTTCTTGCGGATAGGGAGTACCATGGGCGAGCGATCTCGCGTATACAAGGAAATTTCAGTTAATTGTTGCATTTCCAGGTGGGGCTGCCTTGCGGATAGGGAATGACCAGGGGCGCGAGCAGCGAGCACTCCCGCGGCGCGGACAGCGCGTGGTTGGCCTTACTTTACATGCCCCTCTGGAGTGCAAATGCCGCCGTCATGTCACCCGCGCGCCTCGCCTCGCTCGCCCTCGCGCCCGTCCCGCGACAGGAATCGTATGTTAATCGTGACTGCTACTCGCGCCCGCTTTGGAGAAAGCAGGGCTGCTGCTCGAGGGGGGTAGGCTGTTGGACGAGGTCGGTCGGTCGGGTCGAAGTATATCGGTCGCTTGTGATTAGCGGCTCGGGTCGCGGGGTCTTTGCTCGAGCCGCCCCTAGGCTGCCTCCGGAAGGGCCGGGTCCAGCAGCTCGGTCCAGCGCTGTGCCGTAGCCCCGATGGCTGCTGTGCCGCGGTGTGTCTCCGAGAGTCCTAGAGGCGGAGGCCGCGGTTGCGACGGCCGACGACGGCGTCCTCCTCTCCTCTCCAAAAAATGCTGCTCCGGCCGCGAGCCGCGCGCTCTTGATCGGCGACGGCAAAGCCCCGCGCGCATGCATAAGAGATGAGCTCTAAGCGTGGCGGGGCGTCCAGGGGCGGGGCAGGGCGGGGCGAGCCCGGGCGGGGCGGCAGGTGTCACAGAGTAATCGTCAATTACTGGCGATTGATGTACCGGAGGTGAAAGGCGTCCATTGCGCTGCCGCTGCGACTGCGGGCCGAGGCCCGAGCTCCGCGGACCCGGCCCGGGGCGGCAGGCAACCTCCGGAGCGGTGGCGCGCGGGCGCCGGTTGGGTTGCCTACCCCCGCAGGCGCTCTCCGCTCGGTGCGCGTGCCGGCGGGCAGCGGACGCTGCCCTCCTGGCCTCCCCCATGAAGGGCCTCCCGTCGCTCCCTCCCCCATGTCCGCCGCTGGCTTGACTTACGACACATGCCGCTCCCCTCCTTTCTTTGGTCGCGCGAGCGATAGGTCGACAGCCTGTGTCCTCTTGGTGCAGTCGATATCCCCCCCCCCCCTTCCCATGTCCACCGCCGTGGCCGTGGACACAAACGAGAGATGAAATTCCAAGCGTACGAGATTAAAAAGGTTCGGAACGGTTCCAGACGTGACGCGCCCGCCCGCCCGCCACAGTTCAGCCGCGGCTTTCCATTTGTGAATTTTGGCCGGCGTGAAAAGGACATAACAAGGTAGACGCACGTTAAAACCGTGTGAAGCTGAGCTAAATGTGCGGATACCTTGGCCTGCGGCGCGCTAAAATTAAAATGTTTCCGCAATTTTGGTTGGCATGCCTGTCCACCTCACATCCTACGTCTCACGCCAGGCGCCTCACCTCACGCCGTCTTCCGGGCGGTCTCCCCTTGCGCTTTCTGACAGAGCTGAGCATTTAAAGTTAAAGTTTAATTTCAAGTTCAAGTTAAGCTCAGCAATAACAAAATGGCTGTCGTTGTGCTCCTTCTTTGCAAATCGAAGCGGCTAGTGGGAGCAGGGAAAGCATGCCGTGATTTTCCGCGTAGAGTCTCACGACGGATGACTCTCTAGGACGCTCCATTTCCCTCTCCAAAGCCGGGTCCCCACCGCTGAGGCGCTGTTTGCTGACCCGCTAATGTATTCCATCCCGGTCGTTGATTGGAGCCGGAGACCCGCGAGGGAGCGTTGAAAAACCGTGGAAATACTAAAATATCTCTCCTCGATGTCTCTTCTCTGGTGTAGAGATAGCGATCTGGAGGTATCGTCCGTGTGATGCGCGGTCAGGTAAGGGGGGGGGGGGGCTGAGATGGCCGCCGTGCCCCGCTGGGGTCCGGGGCCCTGCTGCTGCTGTGGTGCCTGCGGGTCTTTAATTTAAAATGTTGTTTCCCCGAGAGGAGTGTTGAGGCTTTGGTGTGGACAGCGCTGCTGAGGCCGGGAGGAGAGAGATTTGATCATGGTAGTGGTTCCTCAGCGTTACGAGGCGGAGGGAGCGGGGGGCTCAGCAGGGCTTTCAGTCAGCTCTCCGCGGGCGTCCAGCACGCAGGGCCCCGTGGTGTGGTGCTCCTGATCTGACCAGGCCCTTGAGCCCCTGCCGCGGCCGCTGCCCCGGGCTGCCCCCTCCCTCCCCCTTGGTCCGTTTTATGTAAATGCAGCAACAGGTTGTACCACCGCCGCGGATCGGCCCCGGCGCGGCCCGGCCCCGGCTCCCTGTGTTTGATAATTGTTTACCGTGGCGCCTTTTAATTTATTTGTGGAAGCGGAATGATTTACCGGCCGGGCGATGACAAATGCCCCGGCCGCCTGGGGGGCTGACGCCGGCTGAGCGCGGCTGAGCGGCACGCACGGGCCGCAAGCGGGCCACCGCAAGCCCCCGCGCCCCTCAACACTCCGCTCCCCACCTCCCCGCCCCGCTCCATCAGCTTTCACAGGGGGAAGATATAAAGATAACGCCGGCTGTTTCGACCTCTGGTCCGGTCCCGCAAAAGGGCTGTGGTGGTCAGGGCTGCTGGGACTTCCCTACCTGTCTCTCTCTATCGCTCTGCTGCCGCCACCGCGGCGGTGCTCGTCTGCATCGGTAATGCGCGGATTTGCCGACAATAGACCACCACCACTACCGGACCTCGACCAAGTAGGCCGACTGGAAGTACTGGTTTGTGAATCCGTTGTGTCCCGCTGCTGTCCCCTCCGTGTGTTGCTCTCTGGGGAGACAAAAGGCCGTACCCACCAGCCAGCGGTACACTATACTCCTTGCGCGCGTCTCGTCACGGGTGGCCTGGCACACTGTCCTGGAGTTCCTGGACGTGGTGGAGGCTGGAGGTGATGGAGATGGTGGAGGCTGGAGGTGCTAGAGGCCGGAGGTGGTGGAGGCTGGAGGTCCTGGAGGTGCTAGAGGTTGGAGGTCCTAGAGGTGGTGGATGCTGGAGGTCCTGGAGGTGGTGGAGGCTGGAGTTCCTGGAGGTGCTAGAGGTGGACCGCTGCAGGCGGCCACTGCACTTGAGGCTGTCAGCAGCGGGGCGGACGCGCGCGCGCGCCAGCCGGCGGCGTGGGTTGTGCAATTTCTCATATTGGATCGAAATGCAAGCAGCAAAACGCGAGCGGACAGCCAGCTTTGGCTTTTTTGCAGACGCACACACAGACTCACACAACGTCTGAGCGTCGTGCAGGCTGATAGCTCTTAACAAGATGACGGCGACATAACAGCGACGAGGGAGAGGGACCAGGGGGAGGGGGGTGGGGTGGATGTTTTGTCTGATATGGCGGACGTTTGCATGGCCGCTGGATTGCCCAACGCCCAACGTGTGTGTGTGTGTGTAACAGAATGAGAGAGAGAGCGAGAGCGACGTGCCATTGGTCATGTGTCAGCCACCTTTAGAGAGGGGCTTCCCCTCGGCCACCCCGCCATCGAGGTCCTTCGTGAAAAGGCGCGCCACTCGCCGCCACGCTCCGACGGTTCCCAAAAGGGTGTGCGGGGTACAGCACAGTACGTGGACGCACACGGGGGCTCAGCAACGGGTTTTCTTTCAGTAACGTCCTCGCGCCGCTGCTGCCGGTGGTCGGGGTGATGGTGGTTGGCTTTTAAGGGGAGCTGGCATATCAGGCTCTCTGGCTGCTGGCCGAGTGTCTGAAAGGGAAGCCCTTTCTCCCGTCCTCTTCTCCAGTTTGTTCGACTGTTCGGCGCAATCGTCCACGCGACGCGTTTGTACAACTCCCGCCTCGAGCTCTGACGTACAGTCATCACAATCCAATTCTGCTCAGCGTTTTTGAGACGGCCGGCGGAACCCGGAAGACAACAGTTAAGTTCAGGGAACCTGGGTGAAAAGGGGTGGGGTGGGGGGGGGATGCGCAACTAGCAAAAAATCGTGTGCACAAAGTTAAATAACTGTACAATACAGAGAAATACGCAGAAATACGTTAAATTCACGCGTCAAAATACAAGAAATACAAGCGAAGCGTTCACAGAAATACACGAGTTCGCCCCCCCCCCCTTAGTTTCTGTGGAGCTGGCGTTGCTCCAGGAGAACACTCCGGGAGTACACACTCGTCCAGGTGTCGGGCTGCTGGAGTTGCCTCCTGAGTGCGATGACGACTGTTCATTCGAGACCGACTTGTTGTTGATAACAAACTACCGCAAGAAGAACCACCACCACCACTATTATTACGACGTTCTATCATCACCACGATGTACTGCACTACCGCCAATACCCCGGCTAATACACTATCACGACCATCAGCACGATCACTAACAATTTTACTCGACTTTTACTAGTGCTTGCTTATATTCGCTACAACTATTGCAGTCCTTCCTCCTGTCCCTCGTCCTCATCCTCGTCCTCCTCCTCGTCCCTCCTCTCTCCCCCTCACTCCCCCCTCACTCCCCCCTCACTCCCTCT